TTTTAGGAAACACGGGACTCTATTTCAATAAGCAGCTTATAGATTTTGGCAAACCATATTTCCTACGACAGTGGGGTCTCATACAGGTCTGCAGTTCAAAATCCAAGTTTGAAATCCGGGACGGAAGGCATTCTGGAAAATGGAGAATCTAATAAACCAAGACGTCTCATGTTCGATGCTGGCTGTCAGAGAAGGGCTGGGCATCTGTTGGTCTGAGTGTAGCTGGTCTCATGTGAATCCAACTTGGTGCACAATCGCTGAACTCTAGAACACTTCAAGCAAAGTACATGGTGCGCAGCGTGTCCTGATGGACCTGGACCGCCTTGGCCAGCGCTTGGTGGTCTCGCCCATTGCTCTGCCCGGAGGTATGGCTTCCTTCAGCACTGCAGGGACCCGAGAAGGGGGAGAGAGAATGCAGCCTTTAGTGGACAACCAAGTGAGAACCACGAGCCAGGTGCAGAAGCGACAGCATGAGCTCACAGTCAGCCACGGCCACACAGCTGACACGTGGCCCCAGAGAGGCCAGCAGTCGGGGAAGTCTGTGGCAGTCAACCCCAGCCACTTCCTTCTTTGAAAAAGCACCTGACAACCCCAAGAGATGCGGGCCCTTCGGCAACTGCATCCAGGTGTGACCCTCACCTGTCATGCTCTTTATCCACCAGGTGGTACCTGGCCCGGAAGGCCACCAAGTGAGCATAGTACGCTGGAGCCGGGATGGACACAGAGCGCGTACAGCGCACGTAGGTGTGACACAGCTGGTAGGTTAGAATCTGCAGCTCGTCAGAAGAGAAACGATTGTCATCCCAAAGGACATGGTAGTGGGAAGGCCGGCTTGTCCCCTGAAAGAGATTGCAAGACCAGGCAAACCCACCATGAGACTCTGATTGATGAGAAGATGTATCTACTTTTAATTTAATTTTATCATTCTTATTTTATTTGTATGAGTGTAAGTGCACCCATGTCATGCAATGCCCGTGGAGGTCAGAAAAGAGCATCGGATCCCTTGGAACTGAAGTTGCAGACAGTTGTTAGCCACCATGTGTGTTCTGGGAATCGAACCCGGGTCCTCTGCAAGAGCAGTCAGTGCTCTTAACTGCTGAGCCAGCTCTCTAACCCCAAGAAAGTATTTCTATTGAGCAAGGCACAATGAGGCATGCCCATAATCCCAGCACCTGGGAGGCTGAGGCAAGATCAGTCCTTCCCTCTCTCCTTCCAGACCCAGGCCGTGCCGGCCTGGAAATCAGTTCTCCTGCCTCAGCCTTCAAGGTGCCAGAATTATTGGCAAATGTCACTATGGCCAGTTCATAACCAAATATTAAATGTGGCCATATTTCAAAATAGCTAGCAGAGAGGATTTTCAGTGTTCCCAATGCAAAGAAACGGTGTCAGGTGTGGCACTTACTTGACTGAACATCATATGTGGTATACAGGAATTGAAATGTCACACAGAGCCCCATTTATTTACACAATAACCTCTGTGACTTCACTGACACTCATGACCTGAATGAGCAAGTGAAATCCATCAAAGAACTGGGTGACCACATGAACAACTTGCACAAGATGGGAACCCTCAAATATGTCCTGGTGGAATATCTCTTTGACAAGCACACCCTGGGACACTGATAATGAGAGCTAAGCTGACTTCCTTGGAGTGATGTCACTGGTCACCAGAACAGGGCATGCATGTCAGGCCTGCCATTGCCTTTTCTTTCCGGGAGTTGCACCAAGACAGCTACTTAAGTTTTTAAATTTGTACCATTCCTTCAAATAAAGAAATTTTGAAAAAACTCACTTCAAAACAAATAGATAGATGATAGAGATAGATAGATGATAGAGATAGATAGATGATAGATAGATGATAGATAGATAGATAGATAGATAAGATAGATAGATGATAGATAGATAGATAGATAGATAGATAGATAAAAATATAGTTGGTAAGATGGCTCAATAGATAAAAGAGCTTGCCCCAAAGCCTGACAATCTGAGTTCAACCCTTGAGATTCACATGGTAGGAGAGAACCAACTCCACAGAGTTGTCCTCTGCCTCCACACATACAACCCCCTACACAAATAAATAAATAAATAAATAAATAAATAAATAAATAAATAACTGTAATAAAAAATATTGCCAGGTTTAAATATTGCCCTCTAAGACCAGCACTCAGGATGCACACATTTAAAATCAGTACTCAGGAGGCAGAGGCAAGTGGCTCTCTGTGAGTTTGAGGCCAGCCTTTCTATATAACAAATTCCAGGCCAGTTGGGGTATAGTGAGACCCTGTCTCAAAAAAATATTTTTAAAGAATATTCTTGCAAAAAGCAAAGCAAAACAAAAACAAAGTTTCCCCATATGTTTTAGAGGGCTGTTGATTCACACCTCGAGGCCAGGCTGGGTCCCTTGCCATCCAAGACCTTGCAGGGCTGGGGTGTTATGTGGGCTCAATCAAAGCCCTATGGAGTGCCAGGCCAAACTGTACTTGTAGAGCTGCTCCTCTGGGTCTGGGGATAGAGACCCAGTCAGCTTGACTGAAATCCTCAGCTCCGGTTTGTTTTAACTAGGCTCTCCTGGGATTTAGTGTCTAGGCTCTTCCATGTAAACAAATTTGTAGCATATATTGGTTCTTTCATGAACCTCAGTTGAGGAACCCTCACATTCTAGAACATTCACACTCCAAAGCAGGGCTTTCCATGTGATTGCATGTGGTAGCTAATGAACTCAGTGTTCATTCAGCATGCTTTCAAGTTTGAGCTGAACCCCATGCCCCTTGGGCATCTCGTCCCCATTTGCCATCCCCATTTGTCATTCTACCCAGTCTTCCTTTACAGTAAAAAGACACCCTGCCCCCTTTGTGGTTATTGAGAACCTTTACACTGAGGAAACATGGTGGATGAGGGAGTGTCTCTGCACCTCAAGGCCCTGTGGCTTCATGCCAAGTATGTCTGTCCTGGGGAAATGCCACAGCCAGGCAGACTGAGGCTGCTTCTCATAGATAGCTCCACACTGCTGATGGGGCAGGGCAGAGCTGGGCTGGGCTGTTCTCTGGAGCATCTGCAGGTAAACTTCAGGCATCCCTGTAGGAAATGGGACAGACTGTCACTGGTTGTCTTGAGAGCTCTGAAAACTGTTCTCCATCCTTTAAGGAAAACAAATGAGTACTAGCAAGCATGGACAACCATGTGATCTGGGAACCAGATACCTAAGTGGTGTTGCTGCATACATCTGGAGTGACATTTAGCTTCAGAATTCAGGAAACCCATGGTTAAGGTAACCAACACTAACAGAATGTCTGAATGCTAAATCATTCATCTTTCATTTATTCAATCCATGTCTGTGGATGTAGCATTAAAATACACAACAGGAACTGGAGAGGTGGCTCAGCAATTAAGAGCACTGGCTTCTCTTCCAGAGGACCTGGGTTTGATTCCTAGCACCCACACACATGTCAGCTAACAACCATCCGTAACTCCAGTTCCAGGGAAATCAGACACCTTCTTTTGACCTCCATAGGCATTGCACAACACAGGTGCACTTACATATATGCAGGCAATATACTCATAGATATAAAATAAAAATAATAAATAAATAAAAATTTAAAAAGAATACAACAGAAAGCCAGGCTTGGTGGTGTACTCTTGAAAACACTGCCTTGGGGAGGCAGAGATGGAGATGGGGGGATCCCTGGGGCTCGCTAGATAGCCAGCCTAGTCTACTTGGTGAGTTCCAGCCCAGTTAGAAACCCTGTCTCAAAAAATCCAAAAACAAAACAACACAACAACAAAAATCCCCCAAACTCCAAAAACAGAAAAACCAACAAAGGTGGAGCATACTGGAGAAATGAAGGACTGACACACACACATGCACATGCACACGCACACTCATGCACATGTACCTGCAAACATGAACAAATGCACATATATGCACAACTGATTGGCATAAAATATAGTGGAGTCAGGTTTTTAAGAAACACATCTGGGGGGGATTAAAAAAAAGAAACATCTGGATTTCAACTTTAACTCAGATTGTTTAAGTCCCTGACCCATTCTAAGAAGAAATAGGAATAAATTTCTTGAGAAGTTTTTAAAAAATATTTTCTTTATTATTTTTATTTTATGTGTATGAGTGTATTGCCTGCATGTATGTGAGTGCACTCATGTCGTGCAATGCCTGCAGAGGACAGAAGAGGCTGTCGGATCCGCTGGAACTGGAGTTACAGACAGTTGTTAGCTGCCATGTGGGTGCTGGGATTTGAACCCGGGTCTTCTGCAAGAACAACCAGTGTTCTTAACCGCTGAGCCACCTCTCCAGCCCCTGAGAAAAAAAATTTTTAACCCAAATTATTACACTTCTTTTAAGGAAGTGAGCCTTAAGAACAATCTCAGCCAGGAGTGGTGGCCCACACCTTTAATCCCAGCCCTCAGGAGGCAGAGGCAGGCAGATCTCTGTGAGATTGAGGCCAGCCTGGTCTCCATGGTGAATCCAGGCTAGCTGCAGCTATGGGGAGACCTTGGCTCAAAAGAAACAATCTCAGTGGGCTGGAGAAATGGCTCAGCAGTCACACTGGAGAAAAGCCCGAACACCCACATCAGGTGGCTCACAACTGTATAACTCCAGTTTTAGGGGATCTGATGCCTTCTTCTGGTCTCTTGGGCATTTCACTCATGTGCACCCAGCATATACATGTAATTTGAAAAAATAACAATAAAATCTTAAAAACAATAAGGTGGAGAACAATTGAGGAAGACATCCCACATCAACCTCTGGCCTCCATATACACACATGTGCATGTGTATCCACACACATATGCACACACACATGAACAAAGAGAAAAATATATATTTCAAAATAAAGCTTATTGAGAAGCTGGCATTGCTTACATTTCTACAGTTCTCTTTAACTTCTGGCTTCACAGGAAATGGCCATTCTCTCCTATCTACTTTGGAGTTGTTTGTTGTGCTGTGTGGTTTTGGTTGAGGTAGATGAATAAAATCTGATCTTGGACAGTGATATCGCTGGAAAAGTGGGGAGTGTTTTGATAACCTTCTAGTGTGGTTGTTAGATACACAGATGTGGGGAAATGACCTAGGAAAATGCCACTTCATGCTCCCCAGAAGATAGTGTTGCTCTAAAAGTAGTTTCAACCTTCCTTACCCCTGAGAGGGCTGTGGAGACCCCAGATATCCCTGCACCACACTTGGAGAGTGACTGAGTATGTGACAATGGCAGTTAAGTGGGGACATATTCTCTTGTTGCAGGACCTGATTGAGGACTTGAAGTCAGAGCTGAGCAGCAACTTCGAGCAGGTGATCGTGGGGTTGATGACCCCCACGGTGCTGTATGATGTACAGGAACTGCGAAGGGCCATGAAGGTGTGGATCCCCGATATCACTCTGGGTGCCTCAGTCACTACAGACAGTGATACATTACTTCAAAACACATGGCCAAGGGGCTGGAGAGGTGGCACATACTGCTTTATCAGAAGACTGGAGTTTGGTTCCCAGAATCCACACTGGGTGGCTCTTACCTGCCTGTAACTCTAGCTCCAGAGAATCCAATCTCCTCTCCTCCCAGGGCACCTGCACACACATATGCACATACACACACATACACATAAATAAAATAAAGTAAAATCTTAAAACTGTGGTCAAGCCCTTCTAAGAGCAAGAAGAAGAGAGGATGTGGGCAGGATTTCCCTTGTGACAATTAGAAATCTGCACAGCAGTCGTAATTGAAAAATTGTTTTCCCAAAAGTTGCACCACTAGCTCCTTCCTGAGGTTGAGTGAGGAAGGACTCATGGTTGGTGCTGTGGGCTGAACCCTGGGGCAGGTGGGCATGCTCTGAGGCTGAGCTGTGCCCCCAGCAGGAGTTGAGACTTCCATGCAGTTCTAGATTTTTTTAGAACTTACGTTAGCTCCTCTTGAGGTGTCCCAAGGACTATCAGCCCAGCACTGGCAGAGGGGTCCTTGGCTTTCTTCTCTAACCATTAGTCCTCTGTACCATCCAAGGGGTGACTGGTTTGCAGTGAATTAGTGTGAGATGCAGGAACAGTCACCCTCCTCTGCATGCCAGTAACTACTGGGCCTTGTGGAAGGTTCTAGGCTGGGCTCTAGAAAAACTGGGAGATAACAAAGTCTTTGCCAGAGCATTGTGACCTTCAGAGGAGGAGAGCAGAAGTCAAGGAAAGAGTAAGACTGCAGAGGGCAGAAACTGCTGGTGTGGGTGGTAGCATGCCTTTAGTGCTAGCACTTAGGAAGCAGAGCTGGCAGATCTCTATGAGTTCAAAGCCAGCCTGGTCTACATTGAGAGTTCCAGGCCAGCCAGGACTGCATAATGGGACCCTGTCTAAAATAAAACAACAAAAAAAAGAGGACAGAAGCTATACTTAACATGGTACTGGAAGCAGCAGGTGGTAACCAGGCTCCACAAGTGTGTGGTCATTGATAATGACTGTGGTGAACCACTGGGCTTGGGCAGGATAGTTCTAAGTCAACAAGCTGTTGGAACCCAGTGGGCTGCATTATATTCTGCAGATCCATGCAGTCCTTAGGAGTCTAGGACTCAATTTTTTATTTTCAAATTTAATTGTATTATTTTTTCAACTGGTGTATTAAAACATTTAAAAATGCACATTAACTTTACCCACTGACTCATACCATCCTCTCTTCTGGCCTCACATTTAGGGAGCCGGCACAGATGAGGGCTGTCTGATTGAGATCCTGGCCTCCCGCACCCCCGAGGAGATCCGGCGCATCAACCAGACATATCAGCAGCGTAAGTAGCATCCCAAGGCTGTTTGTTCATCACTGGCTAGACCTTCTTCACACTGACTATGGGGGAGTCTTAGGACCAAGCTCTGCTAGGCCAGTGACTGGGGCTTCTTAGGGAAAGTACCACTCTGCCCTGTCTACTCACAGCATGTTTTATTGCCTCAGAAGTTTGAAAGTTGTTCTTTGTGAACAAACAAAAAAACCGAAGGGTTCAAAGTCCTGAGACACCAGGCATGGTGGTACATGCTGGGTGAACTAGAAGCAGGAGAATCAAGAGTTCAAAGCTAGCCACTGTTTCCAGTGTGACCCTAGCATTCTACAAAGAGGCCTTGAGGGGCTGACCCAATTTCTTACTTCCAAACAGGACGCTATGTCCTCCAGCCATTGCAGAATGACTTAGACACCTCTAGAGGAGAAGCTGGTCCTGTAATTCCAGTTCTTGGGAGGCTGAGGCAGGATTGCCATGATTTCAAGGCCAGCCTGGGATACACAGTGAATTCCAGGCCATATATGAATATACCCATGTCTTAAAAACAGAAACAAGGAACTGGAGAGGTGGCTCAGGGTTAAAAGCACTAGGTGCTCTTGCAGGGACCCAGGTTTGGTTCCCAGCTGCCATATAGCAGCTAACAACTGTCCATAATTCCAGTTCCAGGGAATCTGGAGCCCTTCAGGCATTGCATGGCATGGATACTCTTACATACATGCAGGCAAAACACTCATACACATAAAATAAAAATAAATATATACAATAACGCAAACAAGGTATCAACAAGATGACTTAGACAGTAAAGGTACTTGCCACCAAGCTTGATGGCTTGAGTTCCACCCCCAGAACGCACATGGTGGAAGAAGAGAACTGATTCCTGCATGTTTTCCTCAGGCAAGTTTGCATGCACACACATAAATAAATAATAAATAAGTAAATAAACAAATAAATAATAAAGTAAGGTTTAAAAAATAACAATCTAGGATCTTTTGGGGTTTTGTTTTGTTTGTGAAAAGGCCTTGTTATATACCCTAGGCTGGCCTCAAGCTCATATCTTCTTGCTTTAGCCTCCAAGTGCTGGGATACACCATCATGTCCAGTTGTTGTTTTTTTTTTTTTCAAATGAAATAAGGCCTGAGCACTAGCTGTTCTTGTAGAAGACCTGGGTGTGAATCCCAGCACCACATGGCAGCTAACAACTGTCCATAACTCCAGTTCTAAGGGATCTGACACCCTCTTTCTGACCTCCTGTATGACAAGGGTGCATTTACACACATGCAGGCATAACACTCATACACATAAAATAAAAATTAAAAATTAAAAAAAAAATAAGGGCTGGAGAGATGGCTCAGTGGTTAAGAGCACTGACTGTGGAGGACCCAGGTTCAGTTCCCAGCACCCACATGATGGCTCGCAACCATCCATAACCCCAGTTCCAGGGGATCTGATGCCCTCTTCTGGCTTCCACAGGCATTGCATGCATGTGGTGCACTTACAGCAAGGAAAAATATTCATACATATAAAATTTTTTAAATATTAAAAAAACTAAAAGAAGTTTTCTCTTTCTTTTTTTGTTGAGACAGAATCTCCCTGTAGCCCCAGCTGGTCTGGAACTCTCTATGTAGACCAAACTGTCCTTAAACTCACAGAGATCCACCTGCCTCTACCTCCTGAGTGCTGGGATTAAAGGTGAGCGCCACCACATTCGGCAGCAATTAGTCTTTTTATATTTGTTTGTTTGTTTTGTTTTGTTTTGATTTTTTGATGACTCAGTGAGTTTTTATTAGGGTTGCTTACAGGAGTATGGATGAAGGTTATTTACGGGAGCATGGGCACCTTCACAGTGGCTAAACCACTGAAGAAAATGTCTCTCACTCTCTATTAACCAGGAACCATTAACTGCCTATAGATCTTCAGGGAGCAGTGAGGCCTTGCAGAATTCAGTTTTTAAAAACCCTCATGTAGGGGTAGGGCCTCTTCCTGAGCTTTTTCAGTGAGCAGGCTGGTATTGGAGGGACAGAGCTCACTGTAGGGTGACAAAGCTGGACAGGGCTCTTCTTTTTTAAATTGGTCTCTTTGAGACAGGGTCTCCCCATAGCCGTAGCTGAACTTGCTATGGAGACCAGGCTGGCCTCAATCTCACAGAGATCCACCTGCCTCTACCTCCCAAGTGCTGGGATTAAAGGCATGCATTACCATGCCCAGCTTCTTTTTAAAATTAATTTTTATTTTATTTGTATGAGTGTTTTGCCTGCATGTATGTAAGTGCACTACATATGTGCAATGCTCACAGAGGTCATAAGAGGGCATCAGATACCCTGGAACTGGAGTTACAGATGGTTGTTAGCCACTGTGTGGGTGCTGGGAACAGAACCCCAGGTCTTCTGCAAGAGCAGCCACTGCACTTAACTGCTGAGCCATCTCTCCAGCTCCAGGTCTCTTTTCTGATGCGCCCACTTCCACTTTCTTGCTAGAATATGGACGAAGCCTTGAAGAAGACATTTGCTCGGACACCTCATTCATGTTCCAGAGAGTGCTGGTGTCGCTGACGGCAGTGAGTGGCTTCCTCTGTCCTGGAGATGATGCATGTACTGACATGTGCACTCTCTGTCCCTTCACTGGTCTTTCACCCTTTCATCCTCTAACACAGATATTCCCCAGGTGTCATTCTTGGGCTTCTCTGTTCTTTTATTTCTCCCTCAGAGACATAGCTAGTCATGCATGCCTCACCATTTTTTTTCTGCTTTGATTCACATAACCTGTGTATATGCTAGGTGCCTCTATTATAAAGTGCATTGAATTATAGGGATGATTAAGAGGTACTTCCTGTGTTTTTAAAAGTTTAAGTTGGAGAAAGGTTTGGAGAGATGGCTCAGCAGTTAAGAGCACTTGGTGCTCTTCCAGAGGACCCTAATTCAGCACCCATATTAGGTGACTCACAATCACTTGCAACTCCAGCTCCAGGGGATCTGATGCCCTCTTCTGTCCTCCGCAGGCATTGCACTCACATGTAGCATACACACGCATACACATACAAATAAATAAAAATAAATCTTTAGGGGCTGGGGAGATGGTTAAGAGCACTGGCTGCTCTTGCAAAGGACCGAGGTTCAGATCCCAGCATGGCAGCTAACAACCCTCTGTAACTCTGGTTCCAGAGGATCTGGCACTCTCATCTGACCTCCTTGGACATTGCATGACATGGGTGCACTTACATACATGCAGGCAATATGCTCATACACAGAAAATAAAAATAATAAATATTAAAAAAATAAATCCTAAAATAAAAAAATAAATCTTTAAAAACATTTTTAAAATAAAGCTTTAAAAACACTTTTAAAAGGTTATTCTGGGGTCCTTGAAGATGACTCAGTGGTAAAGGCACTTGCTGTCAAGCCTGATGATCTGAGTTCAATCTGTGGGGACCCACATGGTAGAGAGAACTGACTCCCACAAGTTGTTCTCTGACCTCCACACGTGTACTGTGGCACATGTACACACACAAATAAATGTAATGATTTTTTTAAAAGTTTATGCTGTCATAAGGGAATATAGTAGGTTCACGGGTGGCTACAAGGCAGGAAAAGATTTAGACTTAAAAGGAACCACCCAGAGCCAGGCAGGATGGTACACACCTTTAATCCAAGCACACTGAGAGAGGCCAAGGCAGACAGATCTCGTGAAATCAAGTGCAGCCTGGTCTACAAAGCAAGTTCCATACCACCTGGGACTACAGGGAGATCTTGTCTCAAAAAAAAATTAATTAGGAATACCCAGCAAAAGGAAGATTCAAGAGAGACTCTGGCTGTGGAAACAAAAGGCCTTGAGGCAAAGATGCTGTTCAGAAGGAATCTGGAGGGCGGCTAGAATTTCCAGAGGCAGCTTTTGGGTGGGCATGTTCTAGGCAGTAGGAACTGCAGAAGAGGAGGGTGCAGAGATCATCAAGGATATCTGGGAACCACTCAATGAACAGTCAGGGCTGGTGATTCTAGAAGCAAGCGGGAAAAGATGGACTAGGAGTTTACATTGGGAGACATTTACAACACTAGGAGACATTTACACTTTATTTGGAGAGCAACGAAGAGCCACAGAAGGTTAGGGCTGGTCAATGATACAATGAGTGAAATTGCAAAACTAGTTCCATTTTATTTTAGCTGACTTTTGCTTTACCCTGCAGAACCATTTCATGCAGGCAGTACATTGTTTCTTCAATAGTGGGAAACTTGCAAAGCCAGGCAGAATGTCCTCTCATCCAGCTACACCTGCAGCCCCAGAAAGCCCATTGTTTCTGCAATTCTGAGAAAGTTGTTTTTCCCAACTGAAACTTAGAAACTTTTTGTTAAGTGAAATCATCTTTGTTAACTTACCCCAGACTTACCCGTAGTCTGGTGTAACTATGGTGATCTGATGTAACTATGCTCACTGGTTTTGCCCCTGGCATAAATGTAGTTGTGGTCTTAGGCTTATAAACTGCACTCTGCCTCCCCTCATCATCAAAAGTTCTTTCTGGCAATATCCCCTCTTGACCACCAACTAATTAGTAAAGGACTCTTAATTCAACCATTGCTATGTGATGTTCCTCTGTGCCTCATGCTTGGTATTACAATGAAGAGAAAGGAAAGCAAGGAACAGGAGGCTGGAGACCTGTTAGGAAGTCACACCAGTGAGGCAGTCAAGACATAAGACTGGTTGGGGTATAGAGACCAAACAGGATGACAGAAAAGAGAATATCACACTGAAGATGCAGGACATGGCTCCTAGCTTTATCCCTGACTTCTCCAGGGTAAGACTCATGTTTCCCATTTCTTTTACATGCTTCTTTATGAATTTTTTAAGATTTATTTTTATTTATGTGCATGTATACATGTATATACATGCACCTGTGTGCAGTGACTATGGAGGCCAAAAGAGGGTGTTGGATCCCTTAGAGCTGGAGTTACAGGTGGTTGTGAGCTACCCAGACATGTGCTGGGAACCACCTTCCTGCCCTCTGGAAGAATAGGAGGAGTTCTAACCCCTGAATGGTCTCTCCAGCCCCTCATGACTATTTTACCACTGCCATCAACATAATGTTCTCTCCAGTTCTTCCTCCTCACTTGCCTGTCAGTGTTTCCAATACCCAAAGTAGAAGCCTGGAAGCATCATCAACTTCCACCTCACCTCTGACATTTACCTAAATAATGCCTGCCTGATTTATTTTCTTCCCATTTCTTCCTCACTCCCCTTCCCCAACACTTACCTCTCTGGTGAGGCTTACTTGGACCATAGACTATTAAAATATCAATAAGAACAGTCTGTTGGGGCTGTGTGTGGTGGCATTGCATCTGCTCCCAAGTCCCACCTCAGATCCAGCATCCTTTTGACCATACTCTCTCTAATCCTTTTGGTAGAAGTTGATCGACTCAGATTGGCCAGTTAAGAAGACTAAGTCAACTGGAAAGATGCAGCAGGGAAGATGTGAGAAGGACTAAAGGGATGTCATTCCTCTCTCCCTCCACTGGCAGAGACAACTTTGTAATGCCAGGGTCCAGAGTGGGACTCGTGCTATGTGGGGGCCACCTGGTGACAGAGAGCATCAGTTTTACCTCCTTAACCTAAAGAGCCAGCTCTTATGGCACCTTTTCTCATTGCTGTGACCCTGTGTGTCCATGCCTTCTGTGTTAACAATGCCCTGGCATCTTCATGGGTGCTGGCTCACTCTGTTGTCTGTCTCATCCTCAGGGTGGCAGAGATGAAGGGAATTATCTGGATGATGCACTCGTGAAGAAGGATGCCCAGGTTGGTAGACTGAAGGTTCTTTCTTCTAGTTTCTTTTCTTTCTTTTTTCTTTTTTAATTATTTATTTAATAACCACATACTTAGAAGAAGCATTTCATTACATCAGCATTGACATATTCAATAACAATTTTCTGAGCTAGGATGCATCTCTTTCAAAATTGGCTGTACATTTTTAGGTTTACAGTTGAATTATTACAGTTATACAATATTGTACTCAGTATAAACCCTATAAGATGTAAAATTAAATGAAGTTTTAACCTTTAAAAAGATCTGCATTTCATTATTAAAATACAGCATTTCATGAAGAAAACTTCATTTTTAATGCAATTGACATTAAGATGTTTGCACATGCGTTTCTAATCTCTAGATATCAGATTATTACTAGTCACAGTTAGTTACTTTCTGAGCTCCTTGGCATCTGAGCATGGACATGAAGTCATCAGGTAGATGTCAATGATAATGTTTTTTGCATCTTCTAATTATTAAGGAACAAATTTTTATGCTTTGAAGAATTATTATTTTTTTAATCATATTTTTAAAAATTTTTATTAACTACATGATTAGAAGAAGCTTTTCACTACAGCTTTAACATATTCAGTAACACACTCCAGAGCAAGAGTACATCACTTTCACAAGTGGGTGCAAGTTTCTAGGTTCACAGTTGAATTAATATAGTTATATATTATTGAACTCAGTATAAGCCCTGTAAGACATAAAATTGGATGAGTTTTTAACCTTTAAAAAAGATCTCCATTTCATTTTAGAATATATTGTTCCTTGCAGAAAGACTCATTGTTTTTGCTACTAACACTGAGATGATGGCACATGCCTCTCTAATCTGTATGTATCTGATTATTACTCATCATAACTAGTTGCACTTGGATCCTGGGTGCCTGTGTATGTCTCTAAAGTCATCGGGTAGATGTCAGTGATATTGTTTATAATCTCTACTAATTAGCATGATGTAAATTTCGATGCTCCCTCCTCAAATATAATACATTTTTTGAAAATTTGTTTTTTTGTGTATATATCACACAGAACACCCCCAAATCGTCTCATGTGACTATACACCCACTTCCCAGATGGCATCCTCCCATAGCCTCGCTCCTCCCACTAGAGCCCTTATATTCTGATATCCCTGCTACTGTCTGCTGTGTTGTTGGCACCCCCAGCCATTCCCCACTACTTGCCCTTCTGTGAATCTAGTCAGCCTATCTAGAGGTCTTTGTTTTAGGAAGATCAGCTGTCCCTCATCTAACAACAATCAGTTGTCAATATTCCTTTAGATAAGATTGGGGTCTGCTGTTCATTTTCCCAGTTCTATGCTGGGTTACTATCTGGGAGTCCCTTTGGCCACCCTGGCCAACAACTCAAAAGAAGGTATCGCCTGTCTGGCATTGTTGCTTGTTATGTAGCCTTTAGCTATACATATGGACTCTTAAAAAATTATATTGGCCCCTTTAACCTTTGGTTATACTTTCCTTTAGTGTGTTTAAGGCCATATAGTTGGCCCAGATAAACCAATTTATTTTTACTCTTAAGGTCGTTTGAGGATCTGTTCCTCAGGGGTCACATGGGCTTGGGAGGAGCCCCTGGCTCCTTTCTTTTACCAGTTCTGCCTATGTGAAGGTAAGTCAAATGTCCTGCTCGACCATGGTTGGCTTCGCTTGGAAGCATGGAGGAAATGATTCCTCTGTGTTGACCCTCCTCTTTGTAGACTGGACACTGGTTCAAGTCCATCTGGTGGGGTCTCCTTGGTCTCCTTGATCAAGAGGACAGGTGACCCACCCCATTACAGGGCATTTTGAGAGATGCTCATAGTCCCTTGGAACTAGTTGATCTAGGAGGGCAAGGAGCAAAG